TTTTAATTACTAAAGCAATTCTTTTTTAAAATATATTTTATTGACTTCAGAGAGGAAGGAAGAGGGAGAGAGAGATAAAAACATCAATGATGAGAGAGAATCATTGACCGGCTGCCTCCAGCATGCCCCACACTAGGGATCCAGCCTACAACTTGGGTATGTGCCCTGACCAGGAATTGAACTGTGACTTCCTGGTTCATAGGTTGATGCTCAACCATTGAGTCATGCTGGCTGGGCTCTAAGGCAATTCTTGATAACTCTCATCTTTATAAAAGTTCTACATGGGGAGACACAGTTGAAAATTTCTCTAAAGGCTCTCATGGCTACCTCTAACAAAACAAAGTTACCAAACAAAACTCATTTCTCTTCTCTAACCACTTAAATGGTCCAAACTTTCTCATCCTTTACCCTACATATCCCACCCCTGATTTGATTTCTTTTATAGAAAAAAAACAAACAAAAACACATGGGAGGTTAAATGATCCAGCACAGCAATGAGCGGGGGGAGGGGGGGGGAACTATCTCATTATTTACCAGATTGTGTACAGAAGACTGTTTCATACTGTCTCCCATGGGGCAAAGTAATGAACTAGTCATGTTTCGATCTACTAGGTCACAGCAAATAATTAAGACACTTGTTACAGTCATCTGTGTGGTGTGATCCTGTAACAAGTCAGAATGGATTTTCTATAAATTCAAGAAAAGGTCCTTACAACCCTAATTTTAAAATCTACATCTTAGCTAATTAAAAACAGTCCCAAATTAATTCATTATTTCACATCTAGTGTGTTGAGAATGTACCACCTGATTTCAAGAGGAGAGAAATATCTTAATTTTTTCCTTCTGTTCTTAGTTCTTCCAATGTTTAAGGTGTTTACTGAAAAAGAAATATAGACACGCTCTAACCCCCCTCCCCCCACCCCTCCCCCACCCTGCCAAAGTGTGGAGTTAACATTAGAAGAGTTGGAAAAGATGCTGAGGGATCTCTGAGGATATATATATAGCTTAAGTTTCACAGCTACCAAGTATAGCTTACGTGTGGATCTGACTAAAAATATCTTACCTCAAAATATTTTCCATATCCAAGGTGTGATCTCACAACTTTATGTACCTTCTTATGAGGCAAGGATGATTAGCCCTATTTCATAAATAGCAATTTTTAAGTACAAAGAAGGTTATACAATTTTAAAGTGACTTTAGTGTCTAGTTTTTGTTTGGTTGGTTGGTTTTTAATGTGGTAAAATATCCAGGCCAAACATGCTCCTAAAATCATTCTGAACAATTCTGAAAATGTCTGATTTAAAATTCTGAGATTTTCATCCTAGTTTTTATTTGCAAAAAATCTCTTCATATTCTGATTACTTTTTAATTATTTCTATAACTCATACTGTGCAACTTAGTTACTAAACTATTTTACAGCTTTTTTAATCAATCATTTCAAGAAAATAAAGTGTTTTGGAGTCATTTTTATTTACTTATATTTTCATAAATGATTAGGAAAAGGTATGTAATAATTCTGAATGAAGTAGGTTTGCTCTGAAATAGTGCTTTGTTCTAATTATCATCCTAATGTAGCTTAATGAAGATCTAAATATATCATTTTAATTGCAGCTAAAACCAAAGAGGAGTAACTATTCAAATTATTTTAAATGAAATTAGGAATTATTATACAATAATCATACAGTAATCATCCTTCGCTAAATACCACATTCATTACCAATAAATACTTTTGTAATATATATGTATGGCAAAAAAGTGGCAAAATTAACTCAACTGAAAATAACAATGATAATTATGATTGATAACTTAATTAAATAACATCTAAACAAGAACTATAAAATATTTTTAAATTTTTATAAAACCTTACAAATTGCAAAAGCTTAATATATAGCTCAGCCTGATTCCAATTTTGCAGACTCAAATAATAAAATAAACCTTTTATTATTGCATGACTAAAACTATTTCTCAATTCTCTTTGTATAAAAGGAAAAAAAAACCTTTTGGATAAATAATTAGAGAATTTTTAGATCATATTTTTTATTTTCTGTAAAACAGATGGGATAAATGTTTAAAACTTATGGGACCTATAAGTATTACTTTTAATGTAAAATGATAATAAATACAAAGAATTGATTTGTAAGCATATAAGAGACTTGAGAAATATGTAAATACTAAACAACCTGGAAATTAACATGCAGTTTGATCAGTGCTTTCTGTTTTTACCTCCGATAAATTAAATTATGTGAATTATTATTTATATAATAAACACTATTTATACTGAATAGTAGATATGCAAACTATTAGTGATATGCTCTGATAAAATACAAATTAAGAGTATTTTAAAAGTACTAGCCATTCTGTGATCTTGAATTTCCACAAATTAAAGTATTTCCCTAAAATCCACTGTAACAATTAAACTACATAAAACAGTGAAAGTTTTCAACTCCTGTGAGCACTGCCATTCCACCCTTAAAACCACAACTGTGGTTTGACAAATAACTGCTGTAAAAACAGACCTCTCATTTGGGCATGTGACTTGTTTTGAATAGCTTCATTACTTATTGCTTTCAATGCCCCAATCAGCACATAATCCTTAACCTCAGCATTTTACAACTTGGTGATAAATATAGTAAAAGATGGCTTTTGGAGAAAATTTTAGCAATCAACCAAGAAAATGTCTTTTTAAAATAAATTGCTAAATTTAATTAACACATTACCCCAATAGTCAAATTATATGCTTCCATTGAAAACCTTTGCATTTAGCTGACTTACTAACATTGAAATATAGATACATTAGCAAAATATTACATCATAATACTAAGCATGTTTAATTCATCATTGCAAGCAACTTTTTATTTTGTCAATTGCATATGTGTGCATAAAATTCAACTTTTACTTATCTGATACTTGTATAATGATGTCAACATATCCTATTTTTCTTTCCAATTATATTCATTAATATAATAAAACCAATAAATGCTTACCTTTTCCTGTTTTAGAATGAATTCTATCATTCAGAAAGTAATTAATTTTACTTTTAAACTTGATTTTGTATCTATAAAAAGTATTAATTTAAAAACCATAATTTAGGCTAACAAATACTAAAGTACATGACTGACATTCATTTTATGACATTTACTACTACCTTTTCTTTATTCTTGGTTCCAAAACTGTTACATAGAGTTAGTAAACTGGAATGTCATAAGATATCTATCTTGTTACTCTACAGCATAGGAACTTTGAGAAACGGTTCCTTCTCTTACCACTTCATCCCTTTTATACCCATTAACTTATTATCTGATATTAAGCATCATTTTACTACAGAAGAACCAGAAACAAGGAAACCATTTTTGAAGATTATGATGAGAAATAAGAGAGTTGATTTGTCATTTTTATATTCTTATTCCATTGGAGATACAAATTTCTTATCAAGGGTCAAAATCAATAGACCCAGTTGATAGGTTGTAAAGATCTCATTAATAAGATTAATTAGTGTTTAATGTTAGCTATACCAGCAAATATTTTAGGTAGTTACTGTTAATTGAATGAGCAAAATTCAAGAAAAAATATTTTTGTTTTAGGTGTTTTATCAATATTGGAATGGAAGTTTTACATAATAGTGTATTAACTACCAATGGTAATAAAATCTCATTTCATACCAAGGGTTGTAGAATAAGTGATCTAAATAGAAAATTTTTTTTAACATCCCAAGTATCCATGTCTTATTTTTATTGCAATTACAGAATACACTTTAAATCAAAGTTCCGTCTCTATAAGAAAGGATGATAGATATCAATAACTAAATGAAAATATGGCAGCATTTTTCCTCAAAATTCCAATAAGCAACTAGTTATCTTTAGAGTTTAGCAACCGGTAATGATTCCTTGTCATAATGAAAAAGCAGATTACTTCCATATATTTCACCAACTAACCACTCACTGTGTAAAAAGAAATTAAACTTTGTTAAGTATAAGAACCAATATTTAGTTGGCATTACTATATATATTTCTGTTGTTCACAAATGGACAACTTTAGCACTTCTATATGTGGAAGGTATGTAGTGTACATGGGTGATGACCCTTGAAATTAAAAATATTAATATTCTGAGTGGATGCACAGGACTAACTGGAAAAGTGTTATATCAATATCATAAAGAAGGCTGCAGTCAATTGTTAAAAGTTTAATTACAGGAACTGTTTCACTTATTAACAAACAAGAAACTCAACAATATTGGGTTTCATCAACATTTTGTGAAGGGTGTTTTGCACTATGGCTCACTAAGAAAGATAGTTATTCTGATCCATGTTAAGTCAACAGCAATGCACATACTAAGTAAATACCATACTACATGGTATTTCCGATTTGAGGGAAAGCTTTTAACAACAAACTGTTATCACCAGACTGTGAAACTGAAGGGACATGCTCGATAACTCTGCCTGTGGATACCCCACGGTACCACCTTCGCAACAGGGGAGAAGAAACAGAGACGTTAAGTTCCCCAAGGGTAAAAAGCTGTTGCTAAGCAAAAATAACAACCCAAAATATAGAAAGCTGTAGTTTGTTTTTTAATCACTATTTCCCTACTTTAATGCTTTAATTTGCCCAATTCAATATACACACCCAAAGCAGAGAAGAGGCAAAGACAAATCTCTGATAAACTTGCACCAAACCTACTCCCACATCCCACAAATAAGCACTTACCTTTCACCCAGATCAAAACAAAGTCAACGTTAAAGACCAACTGTGAAAGATTATCTTTACTTCCTGAGCTCTCTTACCCTCCTTTTCTAGTTCACTTTACATTTCACCATGTCATTGACTATGATCTTAAAACAACTACTTGCTTAAAACCCAAAGTCTCTAGTCTGGTCATGTCAGTTTTGTAAAGACTTGGGAGAAAAATCCACCTGCTTCCTGGCGCGCCCCCACCCCCACCCCCACCCAAGGGTCGCAACAAGCCTTACCAGCTTTCCTGTGATCTTTCTCTGGGTGGCACTTACCTGCTGCTCCCCAGGCTCGGTGGATTTCACCAGGTGCTTATCCTTGTACAGAGACCAGAGACCAATGTTGGGCAGGAATATTAAAGCCACCATGAATAACAAAGTCATCTGCAGAAATCTCTTCTGTTTCCTCTTCATTGCAAATGATAACAGGTAAGGAAAGTTAAAGGAGACGGCTCCCTGACTGCTCCCGGTGTTGGATGCCACAGTCCTTTCCTCTCCCCTGCCAAGCACCAGGAACTGCGGAGAAGCTACAAACTTTTGTTGCGTGCTCAGCACCAATCGGCACGATTCAGAGGGAGTTGGGCATCTGCAGAACAAACGCACAGTTACTTTCCCCCCCCAGAAAACTATGACGAGGGCACTATCTATTGGCTTAGAAGTAAATGACTTGACTGAGGGCATCATTAAGCCTATTGACCTCCATTAATGTAAAGCAATGGAGTAAATATAATGGTTTCATAGACTAATCGTAAGTTATGAAAAGTCAATGGCATGCTAGATACTTAAGAAAACGGGAGTTTTGGTGCGTGTGTGTGTGTGTGTGTGTGTGTCTGTATTTTCCCCACCTTAGTGTGGAGGGCTGGGCTGAGGAGGAGCGAGTAAGTAAAAACTGTGTGGGAGCAAGCGGCTCAGCCCAGCAAGTGTTAGGAAGAGAAGTGTCCGCTTTGGACACTGCAGCATCACCTTCCCCGTCTTCCCGGAACATTGTCTGTTACGTTCTCCTAGGCTAGGGAATAACCCACCTGAACTCAAGTTCAACTCCCTCCGAAGCCAGCGTGCTGGTGGGCGCTCAACGGGGATGGATGCGGGGACGCGTGGGATCCGGGAGAACTCCTGTCCTGTCTGGATGGAGGCGCACCAACTCCTGTCGATGCTCCTCCGCAGGCAGAGGCTGGCGACCTGGGAGCCCGAGGGAAAGGAGGCTACAGATGTCAGCCGCGTCCAGCCAGGAGGCGGAGGCGCCCGCGTTTCCCCTGCGCAGCCCCAGGAATGTGATTCCTTGAAGTAAGCTCTCTGCTCATCAATCTCTTCCTTCCTCCGGTGACGGCGACGCGCTCACGCTCCGCTGTTCATGTTACCATTATTTTCCGGCCACTGAGCGAACCCAGAGAAGCGCCAGGAGCACCGAAAGAGCGCTGTCTTCAGTCTCCCCTGGGGGAAGGGGACGGAGGGTGGCGAAACCCAGTCGGAGCCGGGATTGCAGTGAGTGAGGGCGCCGGGGAGGGGAGCAGACCGTGAAGATGCGCCCAGCTCGCCCCCAGCGCTGCTCCTCGCTCGCAGCCTCCTGCCTTCTGCTGAGAAGGTGCTGATGTCGACCACGACCACGTGTGGGAGCCCTGGAAGGGGGGGTGGGCGCCTGCAGGGGGTGGGCAGTTCCTCCCAGCTCCCAGATCCTATATAAACAAACCTGGGTGGAGGAAAAGGAGGCGGCAAAGGCGCAGCTGGAAGAGGACCTGGAGCTCCCAGCCTCCGCGGACACTCTCTTTCTCTACCAGGCCTTTTCTGGGCAACTTCGGACCGGCGGAGACAGCACCTTCCCCGCTCGGCTCACCTCAAAGGGGCCGGGCCAGAGATTCCGGAGGAATAGTCACCGGCTGCTCGTGGGTTTGCCCTGGATTCCTCCATGGTGCCTGCGAGCCAGGCGAGCCGGGCCAGCCGGGCGCAGCGGCAGGGGGCGGAGGCGAACGGTGGCTGAGCAGGTCCCGCTGAGAGGGGTTCCCCGGGCGGCGCGCCCTGCAGCTCAGGCCAGGTACGTAGTGGGAGAGGAGGAGGAAGAAGATCCCCAACCGAGGCAGGGGTGCGGTTCAGAGTTCTGGGGCAGCAGCTTCTGCGGCGGCACCATGGAGACCAGGGCGGCTGTACTTGTGTCTGCAAACACCAGGGGCCCCGGTTAAGATTTGGCAGTGCCACCGCGCTCCTCCCCGGCTCTGCTCGTCCGCACCCGGCGCTCCTTAATGAACGGGCTACCTGTCCTTCACACTCTTCCCACGATCCTCCCGGAAAATGTGGGGGATCGAGATAAGTCTGCCCAAAGGGACTCCTTAGTCTCCCTAACGTAAAGATGCACCAACGCCCCTGACCGCACGCGCAGGAACCTGTGGCGGCCTCTCCAAGAGATCGGTGCGCCTAGCACTGTGCCCAGGGCCCTCTCTGGTTCGGAGCCCGTGACTCCTGAAGGAATGGGGGCTTGGAGGAGGCGACAGACAAGCACGCACTAAAAAGGAAGGACTCGATCATCTCTTTGTTAAAACCTAGATGTGATGCTCACACGTTTGGGATAGATGAGACTGTGGGATCCACAATGGTTTTTTTCTCCCTTCCTCCCTCTCTTCTTCCTCTCTCTCCCACCCTCCTTGTCTCCTCCCCCTCTCTGCCTCCTACTTCTACTCTCTCTTTCCCTGTCTCACTTGAGACTCAAGACAGAGATGTGAGTGTGTTATGCCTTCAACTCCTCACATTTTACATTGTAAATGTATTCGAACTGTTTGCATGAATAAAGCTTTGTGCCGAAATACTTGTTTTTGTGAATCGCTTGCATTTCAAGAGTATACAAACACATTCAATAAATGTTTTTGAATGTGTCCTTTAGATAAAGACCAGTTACCTTTCAATTTAACAGGTGGAACTTCATAATCTAAAGTGCAAGGGACATAATTCCTCACCACCGTACACATACACACACACACACACACACAGCCTTTTGTACTCTGCATTTTTTTTTCTAACCTTCTTTCTCTCCCTTAGCAAGCTTAGTTCTGAAACAGAAATATGAATCCTGGCAAGCAATAGATCTGGGAGAGGTTTGCTGGGAGGATTATCTGATCCTCAATCAAAGGTTTTTGGAAAATTATTTAAATTCAGGGTGTCCCAAAAATGTATACACACACTTTAAATATTCATAAAAGCAGTGTTTATTAAAATATCATTCATTTCCAAAATTGCTCTATCAGCTGTTAAAGTGTGTATACATTTTTGGGGACACCTGTATATTCAATATGTTCTCTCTTATGGATAGTAATTAATAATTATAAAGTAAAAGAACTCAAAAGTGCTCTAGAAATTAAAATATTAAAAATCCCTTACATTTTTAATAATATCAGTTTCTTTAAACCTTAACAAAAAGTATTCGTTCACAAAAACACATTCTTTTATTTACTAAATCCAGATTTTGACTTGAGTTGTACTTCATTATTACTGTTCCACTAGTAAGTACTCTTACAAACAATACACTTTTGTTGAACATTATTAGTTGCAGTACATGGTTACAATAACTTACTTTCCACATAAAGTCCATGAAGAATACATGGTGGAAACCAGAAGGAAAAAATAATTATGTTCATCCCTGCTTTTACAGTGTATTTCCAGATGCTCACCCCTCCCCCCCCCCTGTCTGTTAAAGTTATTTAATTTCTTGGGATCATAATTTGCCTACAATCTGGTCTTCTTTCACAATTCCACGTGTAAACTTCCAACAAATGTCAATACTTCTAACTAGAATTGATATTTAGGTTGAGTGTACAAAGAAAAAAAAACTCCTCAATGACAGTTAATCCCTTTGTTCAAATAATCCAGATTAAATGCATACACACTAATACACCACCTCTCTTTAAACTGGTTATTAAATTGGTTTAATCAAAATCCTTATGTCTTTTAAATTTGTCTTATATCCAGAGACACCCTTTTTACCACCATTTGCTCCTCCATTTTGTTATGATTCAATGGGCAACCTCATAAGGTCCATGTGCCTAGCGATGATTTAATACCTCTAAAGGACACAGGGAAAGAAAATAGAGTAATATCTATGACCCCGAGTAACTTAAAGCCCACTCGAAAACCTGACATAAAGGCAATTGGAATAAACTACAAAAGCTTAGCTGTTTGTAGGAACGTTTACGTGAACCAAGCTTAAGCTCTAACTGAAAGAAGCAGAAGAATATTGCTTTAATTATGGCTGTACTCCAAGGTTGCATGACTAGACAACTATGTGACTGTCTCTCAGGATTCTGTGCATTTGAATGGGCGCTGCTGGGTGGTTCTGCTACATGTGATGTAGTTTGGGGTCTGGGGGTTGATTGGCTGCACCAATCAACACCCTCACATGCTGGCAGTTGGCACTGAGTGTCAGCTGTAAATTCATCTGGGGAGTTGGTTACAGCCCCTCGGGTCTCCTCTACATGGCCCCTCCGTGTGACCTGAACTTCTCTCAAAACATGGTAGTTGAAACCCTAAAGGGAACCTCCCAAAAATCTGTGTTCCAAGAGAGAAAACAAATCTGCCAAATCCTTTTAAAGGCCCATTATTGGTACAGTCTCTCTCCTGCAATTGTCCAGAACCAGCCCTGAATCAAGGGAGGGGGTCAGAGATAAAATTGACACCTCAATGAGAGATTTGAGGGGGAAAAAAGTGTGGCCATTTTTAATCCAGTATGGATATTCAAAGGCACATAGGTAGAAATTCACAAGGAAGGCTCAACCAGATTAGACAGTGGAAAATAGGGAGTAGGAGGAAAGGTTTCATAGATTGGGTTGAGTCAAATTATTCTATTACTACAAAGATAGTAAAATGAATTTGTTTTAGTTTAAAAATAGGCTTAGCACCAGGGGCCCCGGTTAAGATTTGGCACTGAAAGTTGGTGGTTTTGATTCCCATTCAGGGCACATACCTAGGTTGCAGGTTCAATTCCCAGTCGGGAGTGTACAGGAGGCAACCGTTAGATGTTTCACATCAGTGTTTCTCTATCTCTCCCTTTCTCTCTCTCTCTCTCCCTTCTTCTCTCTCTAAAAAAAAAAAATCAATAAAAAACATCCTCAGATGAGGATTTAAAAATAGGCTTATGACTTCATGTGCTAGTTATAAGAAATAAGTACTAGCTATGTAATGTACAAGATAATGACTATAGTTAACACTGCTGTGTAATATACAGAAAAAATCTTTAAGAGCATATATCCTAAGAGTTCTCATGGCAAGGAGAATGATTTTTCTTCTCTTTCTATTGTATGTATGTGAGATGATGAACATTAACTAAATCAGTTGTGGTAATCATTTTACAATATATGTAAATCAAGCCATCATGCTGTATACCATACACTTATACAGTGATACATGCCAATTCTTTCTCAATGAAACTGGAAAAAAAAAACAGGTTTATTACTTCATTTTTTAAAATAATGATAGCTCTGGCCAGGTGGTTCAGTTGGCTGGAGCACTGTCCCATAAACCAAAAGGTTGAGGGTTCAATTCCCCCCATACCTAGGTTGTAGGATACATACCTAGATTGCAGGTTTGATCCCTGGTCAGATT